CATCATCATCATCCATCATCCATCATCATCATCATCATCATCATCATCATCATCATCATCATCATCATCATCATCATCATCATCATCATCATCATCATCATCATCATCAACCTCAGCATCTTCAGCAGCAGCATCATCATCAGCAGAATCATCATCAGTATCATCATCATCATCATCATCATCATCATCCTCATCATCATCATCATCATCATCATCATCATCATCATCATCATCATCATCATCATCATCTGCATCATCATCACCATCATCACCATCAGCATCATCAAGCATCACATCATCAGCATCATCATTCAGCATCAACATCTGGCACATCCTCTCCTTTATCCTCATCCTCGTCCCGCATCCTCATCATCTCATCATCCCTCATCATCATCATCCTCATCATTCATCATAATCGTAATTCATCATCATCATCATCATCATCATCATCAGCATCATCAATCATCAGGCATCATATTCAGCATCAGCATCATCAGCATCATCATCACCATCATCACCATCATCATCCATCATCACCATCATCACCATCATCCATCATCATCATCATCATCATCATCATCATCATCATCATCATCATCATCATCATCATCATCATCATCATCATCATCATCATCATCATCATCATCATCATCATCATCATCATCATCATCTGCATCATCATCATCATCATCATCATCATCATCATCATCATCATCATCATCCGCCTCCTCTTCCTGCTTTCCGTCCTCCTCCTCCTCCTCCTCCTCGCCTCCTCCTCCTTCTTCTCCTCCTCTCCTACGCCCGTCTGCAGTACAGTCGGACCTAGGACAGAAGAACATTCCTCAAGAACATGAGACCCTCCGCCAGCCAAAAGGAAGAGCAGTCGAGGGTACCCTCCCCAAGGATGCACAAAAAGATACAACAGGCACGAAGAGCACCAGGGCACCCTCCCCAAACTGACCTCGATCTTATACCTCGGCCCGAGTGTAACCACACACACACACGCACCACTATTCCTTGGCGATGACGGAGAGTGGGCGGCAGGGGTGGGTGGGTTGGCGGGTTGGCGGAGGGCAGGGTGGCGGGCTACGCTGGCTGGGCTGGCTGGCGGGTTGGCTGGTGGAGTTGGTCGGAAAGACTGAATGGGCTGGCTTGGGGGATCGGTTCAGATCTGTACTGTTTTCTCAGCCGTCCGCCGACAAGCGTCCAGGAGAATACTCGTTCAACTGCAGTACCCCGCAGTGCAGCATCTCGCGTGGCCGTTCTGGACGGTGTGAGGCGAAGAGCGCCTGGCGGATCTCGGCATTGCGCTCGTGGGGCGCACCCGGCTCGCTGTACAGCGCAGCGTCGCTCTGATTGTAGAAGGTGTCCAGGATGGAGCGGCCTGACTTTGCCATGCCGTGCTTCGCGTTCCAGCCATAGGCGTTGTGCTCTCTGTTGACCTCGGAGTCGCCGTGGAGGAAATGGAAGATGTACATCCGGTCCACGTCGCCCGTCCAGCCAGTCGTGTTAAGCACCCTCGCGGAAACGAACTCTGTCACGGGGTCCAGCAGGGCCCACCGCGGCACCTCCGGGTTCAGGTACAGACGAAATAGCTTAGACGCGGAGATGCGCTCTGGCGTCGTCGCGTTGTCCTCATCGGGCCGACCAGCGAGGAATGCGCTGAAGGCCTGCTGGTCGTGGGTGTACACATGCTCGTACATCCAGGAGAGAACAAGCAGCAGCCACTCCGAGACAACGTCTGTGGCCCGAAAGAAGACCAGCCCGCTGCAGATGCAGTCGTCTGCGAACGAGCCACTGACGAGCAGGTCCGCACCGCGCTCGCGGGCCGTGTTCAGCACTGCTGCGGTGGGGTCGCGCATCAAGAAGACGTCGAAGTCAAGCCAGAAGACGTCCACCCCCAGGCGCAGATACGCCAGCGGCAGCGTGAACTTGTTCAGGATGGAGGGCGTGCCCTGCACGCAGCGAGCCTCGCCGCCTGGCAGGCCGACGCAGGCCTCATACGCCGGCCCGTCGAGGCAGAAGATGACGATCGGGTGCTGCTAGAAGTGCCCCTGGCTCAAGGTGCCCGCAGCAGTTCGCTCCGTTTTGGAGCCCCTGGGGCCCTCTGGGCCTCGTGAGGTGTGCTCTGGAGGCCGTCTGGGTCACCCAGAGATTCCTGGGGGCACCCTGGGCCAGGGGCACTTCCAGCCACACCCGAGACGAGGTTGGAGATCCCCAGGGAGCTCGCCCGCTCAGCGAACCGATGGATGTACGGCACGTACTGGGGCCCGAACACCATGGTGATGTACAGGAAGTGCCGAACCGTCGGGGCGCCCGCGGCGCGCTCCTCGGCGTAGGGGCGGGGCACGCCGGCGAGCACGGACCGCAGCACGCCCGCGAAGGCGGCAGACGCGCGGCCGTCCGAGACCGCCTCCGCCAGCCTGCCCCAGACAGCCGGGCCGATCAGCGAGGCGCCAGGCCATGCCCAGCCCGTCCCCTGCAGCTCGTGCGGCAGGAAGTCTATGCGGTACTCGTGCCGCTTGATGCCGCCCCTAGCGCGGGCGAGGAAGCCGAAGAGGCCCCAGCCGCTGCCGGCCACCTCGCGCCAGTCGCTCTTCTGGATGAGCTCGTCCACGAATATCGCGTATTGGCTCACGCACTCGGCCTGCGTCTCGGCGCAGACCACCAGCTTCCACAGCGACACCATCGCAAAGCCGTACGTGCACTCCCCGATCGCGGTCACCCAGTCGGCCTGGAGCCGTGGGTCGTAGACCAGCGGCCTCGCGTCGTGAAACCAGTCCGCCCCTGGAGAGAAGGCCCGCCTCAGGCGCGGCCAGTCGAGGACCGGCGCGTCGAGCCCCTCGCAACTCAGCTCCGCGTCGAGCTGCGGCGGCGCGCCGAGCTCGTCCAGCGCGGCCAGCACCGGCCACGCGGTGCCCAGCAGCTGCTCCACGGAGAACGCCCGCAGCAGGAGCTGCACCGCCTCGACGAGCAGATCGGCCAGGGCCGAGCGGCCTCCGCGGAGGTCGTCCACCTGCAGCTGCTCCGCGCACCAGGAGAGGCCGCCGGCCAGGCACTCGGCGTGCAGCACCACGGCCACGAAGAGCATGCCCAGCGGGCACTCTGGCAGCCCGCCGTCCAGCAGCGCCTGCAGCGCGCCGCGCAGGTCCAGGCGCCCAGCGCCCGGCGACACGACCGCCGCCCAGGTCGGCGGCGCCGCCTCCTCCACCTGCCGGCGCAGCGCGTCCCAGTCTTTCCGCAGATGGCACCTGCACCACCACCACCACCACCACTGCCCGGGCCACCCTGGGCCCTGGCACGGTGCGTACGCCCTCCTGGCCGAGGCCAGGGGGAGTCTCCATACACCACCCCGCGGCCCAGGGCGGTCCTGACCAGGCATGCTGGTGGTGCACAGGTGCCACCTGCGGAGTCTATCGCGTGGCTCGCGTTCCGCCTCCTGCAGTCGAAGTCCGGGAAGCTCGAGCGCCAGGCGGGGAGGCGACCGGTGTAGTCCCAGGCGGCCGAGGATCGACTACACAAGAGTGACCCTGGGTCAGCGCGACTACACAAGAGTGACCCTGGGTCAGCGCGACTGAAAGGGGAACGCTGGGGGGGGGGGGGGGGGGGGGGGGGGGGGGGGGGGGGCAAACCTGAGCGCGCAAGACGCAGCTACCGCATCGCACTCGGCGATCGGGGGACCCCAGTGGGCCCGCACCACAGGTCACTCTGCCGCGAGAGGTCGCTCTTACGTGCAGTCGCGAGGAGGGGAGCGGCAGGGCGAGCAGCAGCCGCACGGCCCCAGTGACGTGCCACGGGGGGGGGCCCGGCATGGCCAGCTCCCGCTCCGCGCGCAAGCCACCAGGGCAGGGGGGGGGGGCAGGGCGGGGCAGGCCCTCAGGCCGCCGCGGCCCGAGGGGCGCCCGCGGGCGCCAGGCTGCAGGCTGCAGGCGCAGGCGCGCGAGAGGCTGCGGCGGGCAGGCGGGAGGATGGGCGAACAGGCGGGCGGATGGGCGCACGAGAGAGCGACCCAAGCCCTTTCGCGTTGGGGGAAAATCACGACGGGAGGTTTTTCGATACCTTCGGCCTCTGGGGGCCCCTGCCGGGCCGCGGGACCGTCAAAAAACGACTCGGGATGGAAGACGGTCCCGGTGAAGGGGTCCAGACCTGTGGGGGTCGACGTTGCGAAACAATCACGACGTCGGGGGTCTAGGGAGGTCGGGGGGACGATACAGTCGGACCTAGGCCAGACGACCATGCTTCAAGAACGTGAGAGCCTCCTTGGTCCCAAACAAGAAGAACATCCAAGGGTTCCTTCCCCAGGATGCACGAGAACATCCAACAAGCACGAAAAACACTAGAGTACCCTCCCCGAACCGACCTCGATCTTATACGTCGGCACGACTCTAGCGCAGAGCATGTGGCAGAACGTAGGGCAGTGGACCGAGAGAGGCCGACTCCGTCCGGGCGGGGGGTGCGAGGAAGGAGGGAGGGAGGAGGAAGCTTGTCGCTGCAGCATACTGCTGGCCGCCACCCCGACTTGCGCACGAGCTCGACCGCCAGGAGGCCAAAACGCACGGGCCAGCACCCCCGTGGACAGGAGGCGTGTGCACACGGGTCTGGCAGCATCGCCCGCAGGGCACTCGGAGAGCCAGCTCCCCGGACTGCACACGGGGAGGCAGGGAGGAGCAGAGGGAGGGAGGAGAGGGAGGGAGAGGCGAAGGAGGAGCATCGGCGGCGAGCCCAGCGCAGCAGCGGGAAGCGAGAGGCGGCGGGCCTTCGCAGCAGGCGGCGGGCCCGCTCGGAAGCCCACGCGCCTCCCGAGGAGCCGCCGGCGGCCTCGGAGGAGGCTCACGAGGCTTCTCGGGAGGCGCGCGGGCTTCTGAGAGGGCCCTGCCACCTCTCGCTTCCCTCCCCCCCCCCCCTGGGCTGGCCGCCGAGGGGGCGGGGCGGGAGACGGGCCCCGACCCAGGCCCGGCAGGACGCCGCCAGACGCACGAATCCACACGTGCGAGCGCAGCAGGAGGAGGCAGGGAAGCCAGCACGAGCAGTTCGGCAGTAGAGAGCCCAGACATGCGAAGCCTTCACATTTTCAACGCGCGGTCCCCAGAAGTCCCCCCAGGGCCAGTTGTTCCTCCCGAGTCGTTGCTTGACGAAGCCGAAGCCCAGCGAAGGCCCGGGAGAGCCCGAGAACGGCAAAACACAGTCCGTCGTGATTAGCTTTCACGACGCGAGCACGTCTGGAGGTCAGGAGCAGGAGGAGAGGAGCAGGAGCAGGAGGGCCCAGCCCCGCTGAGCTTGACGCCTGAGCTGCTCCGCTTTCATTCGGGTGTCGAAGGGAATGTCCTCGATGGACACGCCTCGCCCTCCCTCGATGTGAGATGGCCCTGCTCAGGAGGCAGCCCAAAAAGCTTCGGATCCAGCACAGGAACATAAACTGCGTAAGCATAAACTGTCAGAGCTCCGCGCGGATTTTTCGGATCGGCGCAGGGCCCTCCTGGCGGGGCCTCCAGCGCCGCCCCTGGCGCGCTCCGCGCGCCTGTGCGGGGTTCTGGCGCCGATCTGACACATCCGCGCGGACCTCCGAAAGATGTTGATGCCGGCGTCTCCTCTTCGATGCATACCCCGTGTAACCCCAACGGTGGCCACGGCAGCACGATGAACACACCGAGCTGTCATTCATGCAACTACCCGCCCGCATCGGGGAGTCTGCTCCAGAAGGTTTAAAAAGCTTGGTGGTTGGATCGCGTGGGATGGAGGGGGGGAATGGGCAGCCCAGCGAGAGGAGGGCGCCTGTTTTGACGTGCTGTCGGGGAAGGGGGCCAAACCCTCACCCCTTGTCCGCATCAGCGGGGGCAATGGGTACGCTCTGTGCCTTCCCCAAGTACAGTCGACCTAGGACTAAAGAACATCCTTCAAGAACATGAGACCCTCCGCTGGCCAAAACACCCCAAACCCTCGGATCATTCGAGGGTGCCCTCCCCCAGGATGCACGAGAACATCCAACAAGCACGAAGCACACTAGGGCACCCTCCCCAAATCGACCTCGATCTTATACCTCGGTCCGATCGTATCCGCATCTGCGAGGGCAGTGGGTACGCTCTGTGAATTCCCCGGGCACGCCCTCGTCGATCAGCAGCCCACACCAGAGAACGCACCAAGAAAAGAGCAACGCCTCCATCATGCTCACAACTTCGGCCGTCACGCCCCTGCTCTGTATTCCAAGTCTCCTATTGGCCCGCTGCTCCCTGGCTCGAAGGAGCGACTCGAGCTGGCGAGGAGCTTGTCCCGAGCACTTTGGGCGAAGTGCTCCACGGCGCGAGGTGTACCAAACCCAAGGGGTGGGCAAAGGGACCTCCCGCGTCAAACCAAGCGCGATGCTCGGAGGGGGCGGCCTCCCAAAGATCGCGAGAAGTTGCCCGAAAGTACCCAGGCCGCGTGCCGCTTCATCACCTATTCACCACACAGGCAGGCTTGAAGGATGAAGGCCCGAAGAGAGGACTCTCGCCGTGGCAGTGAGGGCGACCAGCCGGGGGATGGGAAAACCTCCTGGAGGGAGGGAGGGGCGGGAGTACCAGCACCTCGCTGTGCAGGCTTCTCAGCCCCAGGGCCCCGGCCTACGCACCCCCAAACATGTGGCGGCTCGATCTTGCCCAGACGTGAATCCAAGGACCGCTCGACCCCATTCCCTGGAGCCAGCTTTTCAACACCAGGGTCGTTCTGCTGACAGCCCTGGGGCCCGAAACTGGCCCTCAGCGGCCCAAAACACAACGAGCAACTGACTTTTTCGAGCCGCCGAATGATGTCCCCTGCCGACCCCTCGCTCCGACTGGCGCCAGGGACGCACCTCCGAAGGGGAAGGTTGAGGACGGACCAGCTCAGGGGGGGGAACATCGAGCTGGAATTGGCGATACATCGCCGATAGATCGGCGATGGGCCCCCGATGGCAAACTCGCTCTCCTGGGCGGGGTGGGCTGTCGGGCCCAGATCTGCGATGAATGGAGTCCTTCGGGGGCCGATGCGTTTCCCACTGCGCCTGTCCACCCTTTACGTTGCCCCCTGACTATTGGGTCATCGCTCGGCTCCCCAGCGGCCGTTCGGGACGATTCGTGCACTCCCGGAACGACCTCGGAGGGCATGCCGAGGCCGGAAAGTCGCCGAGAATCTACGAAAACGCCCGAAAACGTCGAGCCGTGAACCTCGAACCCTGAGCCCATCCACCCCCGCGCTGCAATTGATCCCCTGCGCCCACCCCGACCCCTCGCACCGACTGGCGCCAGGGACATGCACCTGGAGTGCAGCGCCTCCGCCCATATGTTGAGCTCGTGGACCCGCGTCAAGCAGTCGGTGCTGTGGCTGTAGGAGGCGGCCTTCCCCCCACGCTCCGCGGCCCGAGAGGCGCGGACGATCCCATTCTGCCCTCGGCCGCCTCCGGATCCCTGCGCCACCCGGAGGGGAGGGAGAACACGGAGGAGGGGGGATACAGGTAGAGGGACGCAGGAGGAGGGGGGGGGAGATCTTCTCTGGCCAGTGAGGAGGAGCAGCAGCAGCAGCAGAAACGGAAACAGAAAGAAGACAAGGGGCAGGAGTAGGACACGGAGGAGAAGGGGGAGGAGGAGGTGGGGGAGGAGGAGGAGGAGGAGGAGGAGGAGGAGGAGGAGGAGGAGGAGGAGGAGGAGGAGGAGGAGAAGAGGAGAGGAAGGAGGGGAGGAATAGGGAGAGGAGGGAGGGGAGGATGGGCGAGAAGAAAGGAGGAAGGCGAGCAATAAGAGGAGAGGCGGAGGAGGCGGAGAAGGAGGAGGAGCAGCAGCAGCAGGAGGAGGAGGAAGAGGAAGAGAAGGAGAACGAGGATGAGGAGATCGCGCTTCATGTCTGGTCAACGTCAAAATGATGATGAGGAGGGGGAAGAAGAAGAGGCCGAGAAGGACTGAGAAGGGAAGAAGGAAGGTGAGGACGAGGGAGGAGGAAGAACAAGGAGGATGATAAAGGAGCAGGGCGAGGGGGGAGGGAGGAGGAAGGAGGTGGGTGGCAGAGGAAGGGGCTCACCGAATGATCCAAGGCCCCGCCCCAGGGATCCTCTATCATTGGGCGGAGGGGATACAGGCAAGGCAAGACAGCGCGCTGCAGATGGAGGAA